GCAGGAAACAGAATGTGCTCAGTCTCTCCAAAATACCTTTTTAACAAGTTCTCTCATTGCTGTTAGTTTTCCTGTCTCAGATCCAACAAACAGCAGCTCTTGTTCTACTGTCTCTGCTGCAGAGTTTCTGAAACCAGAAATCCAACAGAAATGTGCTCCCATTAGTGGTTTTTATATAGATCTGATACATATTTGATGCATTAAACCCCATAAAACCTTACTGCTGAATGAGAAATGCTTCTAAATAAAACGTGTTCCTCCAGCACATGCTGAGATTAATGTTTGTTTGCTTATAAAGTAATGGGCAAAGGCAAAGAACAAAACTTACTGCACCAGGACACTCTGCTAAAATTCATGTTTACTGGATGATAAAATAATGGGCATAGGAAAGGAACATTTTCCCCAAAGTGTAAGAAATATCTGTGTGCCTACACGATTTTTTTCTGGAGACAAACCACTTGCAGTTCTGTGACTAACAACATCATAACACCAAGGACAGTGAGGATACAAAGAAAACAAATCTCCCAGGATATAAAACACACCTACCTTGCTCCCACAGAGACCAGGACAATGCTGTCAAGGTTGAGCTTGCACCACTCCTCCACGTCCTGCGCGAAGGTTGCGCTGAACAAGGCTCTTCTGACCAGGTGGGATGTGCATGCCAGGAACACCGAGGCCAGCTGGTCCCTGAACCCCGACTTCCCCTCCTCAAACAGCTTGTCTGACTCATCCACCACCAGCCACTCCACACTGGGAACAGGGAGGTTTGCTTTTCAGTGCAGTCACTGGTGGGGAAGTGCCACCTTTCAGCGACCAAGACAGATTTCATAGAATCACAGAGTATCCTGAGCTGGAAGGATCCACAAGGATCATCCAGTCCAACTCCTGGCCCTGCACAGCCCCAACAATCCCACCCTGTGCTGAGAGCATTGGCCAAATACTCCTGGAGCTGTCAGGCTTGGGGCCCTGCCCACTGCCCTGGGGAGCTGTTCAGTGCCCAAACACCTCTGGGGGAAGAATTTTGCCTAATCTCCAGCCTAAACCTCCCCTGATACAGCTCCAGCCATTCCCTCAGGTCCTGTCACTGCTCACAGAGATCAGTGCCTGCCCCTCCACCTTCCCCCTTCTGATCTGAGGCAAACTCCCAGTACCTGCTCAAATCTATTGCTGGAGGATCCTCTTTCAGCAAGTAAATGAGTCTGTTGGGAGTGGTAACCAGTATATCTATAAAAAGAGAGAAAAAAAAAAAGAAAACTGTTGAAAGAGACATAAACCAAACCAGTCTGACAGAGTCCTGAGAGACAACAGCTTCAACTCAGTCTGCCAGAAGTCCAACTGAAGAGTCCCTGTCAGGCTCACTTCCCATTTCTCCCCTGCCACTCAGTGGGTGTTGCACAACAGCTCACACACCTCAAGTGGCTTCACTCACCCCTTTAACACCACAGAGCCCACACAGAAAGGGACATTTTTCACATTTTTTAGAAGCACTTCAGCAGTTAAAACAATTACCAAACTTCTTGGAAGACTTGGGCCCAAACTTCTTGGCTGCTTCAGCTGCCTTGTGGATCATGTGGATTCTGAAGCCTGTGCCCTCTGCCAGCTTCACCAGCTCCCGGTGGGTCTGAAAAAGGGCACCAGAGGTTGAGCTTCCAAACTGAGTTCATGAGCTTTTCTCACCAGAAAACTGCTGACAATCACAGCACCATGGAATGGTTTGGGTTGGGAGGGACTTTAAAGCTCCAGTTCCACCTTCCACCAGCCGAGGCTGCTCCAAGCCCTGTCCAACCTGGCCCGGAACACTGCCAGCTGCAAACATCACCCTGATTTCAGTGTTAAGAGAAACCTGTCTAGTTTTCTTGGCATGACAAAAAGCTTTCTAACATGCATTATTCACTTGCAAGTTCTCACCATGCAGCTCCCAGGAGCCTCCTCTGCCATATGACTAAAAACTGTCCTAAGTTGGCTTTTTGTTTCAGTTTAACAACACAGCTCCAGTATGAAATTGTGAGCTGAAGTCCTGAGTTTGGGACAAACAGATAAACCTCTCATAGCAATCTCAAGTATGAAAGGAGGTTTGAAGAGCACCTGAGCATTGGGCAGTTTAAAAGAGGATCAAAGAATCTCAGGCCTCTAATCTAATCATTTAGATTAGGCTCAGATACCACATATGTACCTACTTCACACACAAGTCAAAAGGCTTAAAAGAAACATTTAAATTAGCTTTTTCTGCTATCTGAGGGTAATAAAGGAAAAAGACCTTTACTGAGCTGCAGTTTTACTGATTCAGAGTGGAAACACTGAAGCACATCAAGATGAGAACTCCTCTGCTCTCACACACACCTGGCTGGCAAGTTCTCGGGTCGGTGATATGATCAGAGCTCGGAATCCTTTGTTCCTGGGTTGCTTCAGATGTGTTAGGAGAGGGATACAAAATGCCAGTGTTTTTCCAGACCCAGTGGGAGCTGAAGCCAGAAGCTCCCGACCCTGTAAGGAAAACAAGAGGAGGTTATATTTCACCAGGAAAAAAGAGGAACTAAAACCTCATCCACATAAGAATCAACACTACAAACTGACCGAAAACTCCTTAGGAAAAGCACATTCCGAGAACACTGGCTAAGTTCTGAACTCTGCTGCAGCTGATGTATCTCTAAAGCTGTGCTACAAACACTGCCATGATCCCAGATTTTGCCCTAATCCCTGAAAGAACACACAGTCCCAGAGGACTCACATGCAGCATGACGGGAATCGCCTGCATCTGGATCGGAGTGGGGACCTGGAATCCTGCAGCCTGGATGTTCTCCATGATTTTGGGATGGATGTTGTACTCCTTCTGAAGCTGCTCAAAGGTGGCAATGGGGTCAGGGAGATCTGTGCCCTGGACATTGATCCTGTGCTGGTTCCTGAATCGGTTTATCTAAAAGGCAGAAAAACTCTTTCATCTCTCCTTGATGCCACAAACCAAACCTTGCATGGATTCAGCTCCTGGTTCTTTCCCCATACTCTGTCTCCCTCCCCTCAAGAGGAATTGAATCTCAATTCTCAAATGCCCACAGAACCCCAGGAATCTGCTGCTGCTCAGAATTCCCTGGTCCCACCTTTTCTCTCCTCAGTCGTTCAAGCTTCTCTGCAGTAGGTTTTTTCTCTTTTGCATCCTCAAATTTTGCTTCCAGAGAGGTCATCCACTTGATCCCATTGTTTTCTGACAGCTCTGGCATTGTTGCTGCTCCTGGGAGTTTCAAACGAGTTGAAATTTCCATCAGTAAGATGCAGACAAAAATTATGTGCCAGGACAAGGGGAATGGCTTTAAGCCGAGGGAGGGGAGATTTAAGTGGGATATTGGGAAGAAACTCCTCCGTGTGAGGTTGGTGAGGCACTGGCACAGGTTGCCCAGAGAAGCTGTGGCTGCTCCATCCCTGGGAGTGTTCCAGGCCAGGTTAGATGAGGCTTGGAGCAACCTGGGCTGGTGGAAGGTGTCTCTGCCCATGGCAGGGGGTGGAATGAGATAAGCTTTAAGGTCCTTCCAACCCAGCCCCTTCCATGATCCTATGGTAATTCTGCCAGGGCTACATATGTTTATATAAATACCTAGTG